AATTGTCCTTTTTTGTTTTACTTGAATAAGCTCTATTTATTGTCACATTTCTTAAAATACATTTTAAGAAATGTGACAATAAATAGCTCTATTTTATATAATTCTATATTTAGTTGTACACTATATTTGAACCACACTTGGTAAAATTTTTCAGAAAGAGCCCATTTTTTGTTTCATATTGAATAGTAATTCAGCGTCTTTTAATTTGAGAATTCTTATTTAATTACGATTGACGTTGGCATGAGATACATTTTCAGTACTTTCAGTTCAGTATCGTCCCATATTAAGCAACATTTAATAACGTGTTAAAATTTCTGAATATACTTTTTTTAAATACTCTATGTGAAGTAAAATTGTAGGTGTTTTTTGTTACTTTTTTGAGTTAGATTCTAGTGCCAATTCTCGATGTTAGAATTGAATTATATACATTTAAAAGGTCTCCAAAATTTACAACAAGTTTATATAAATCTATTTATAATGCTAAATGATACAGAATTGTCAATTATTTTTTATTTCAACATAAAAAAAACAACAAAAACATTTAAAACAGTAAATTATTAGTTTTATTGTAATTTTAATTAAAGAAAAGAAGGCTCCCAAGATGAGCTTCCTCTTCGACATCAGGGATGGACGGACACAAAGAACACGTTTCATATTTTCCAGTTCCGCAATACCCTGATATCCCCTACAGAAAAGAATGAATGAGAAGTTATTATATATTATTTTTGTGTGCCATATCTATAAGATGAAAAATTTTAAAAAGCTCAACTTGTTTTTGTTCGGAAATTTTTTTAATAAATGGCAGTATTGGGTTTCATGTTCCAAAATTGTTGAAACTTTTGTGTCTCAGCCTTATAAGAAGCTACTTATCCGCAATACAAGCATTAAATTACTACTGCAATTTAAAAAAAATCATATACACGTTTAAGCTTGTTTGGGCGTAATTTGTGGCTGTGTTCTTAATAATATCAGAAATATCATAAAAGAAGACTATCCAAATTATGAAATGGACAAGATTTGTTACATTTAGCAGATACAAACTTTCATTTTTTTGGATTTTTCATTTCTTACATTTTGTAATAATTTAGTTTGTTGAATTCTTAAAAATTTCACCATACTTAATTTTAGAAACTTAATTTTTACTATGATATTTTATATTAAATTTATGATATATGCATATTATAAATATAATGAATTTATTTCTGCATTGTACGAGTATGTAGAATTCGCAAAACAAAAATAATAAATTTTCTATATGCACTTAAATTAAAAATTCAATGCATACACACATTTTTTTATATGAATTATAATAACATGTGTATGTACATATGTATGGGCATACGATATAATTATTATGTTTGTATGTACATACATAATAATTACATAGTAATAGCTTGTTATATTTATAGTAAAATGAAGCTGTAAAAAATGTTGTACTCGTATGGAGTAAAAATTGTAAATGAACTTAGAAAGAAATTTAAAGAATAACAAAATAAAGTTGGTTCAAACCAATGGTTTATATCGTAGCGCTTTTCCCTTCAACAAAGTGTAAAATACTGCTTCCAAAAACAATCTAGGTATATATACTACTCTATTAAAATTGCTTTTTTTATACCCTGCACTTCGTGAAGGGTATATTAACTTTGGTATGGAGTTTGTAACTACTTGAAGGAGTCATCTGCGGTATGGACATATATATATATTCTTGCTCAGCGTAAAATTCTGCGTTGATTTAGACATGTCCGTCCGTCCGTCCGTCCGTCCGTCCGTCCGTCCGTCCGTCCGTCCGTCCGTCCGTCCGATCGCACGATAACTCAAAAACGAATAATGCAATCGACACCAAACTTTCACAAGTTGCTTCTTTTCTGCCAAGGACGAACCCTATTGTTATTGGACCAATTCGGACAACGGGTTCGGGTAGCTGCCATACAACTCAAAGAGTTTATTTTAATTATTTCAAAAACTAATAAAGGTACAAATATAAAATTTTGTATACATGTGTCCAATTATATTCTACATATGCTCTAAAAATTTTAATGAGATAGCTGCACCGGTTCGGGTGGCTGCCATACAACTCCAAAAGCAATTTTTTTATATTCGGCAAAATAATAAAGTCAGATTCATGAAACTTGGCAGTTGTGTGTCCAATTATAGGCCAAAGATATTTCTGAAGTTTTTGTGGAATTGCTTGACAGGTTCGAGTGGCTCCCATACAAGTCCAAAAGCTTATTTTAAGTATTTGGAAAAATAATAAAGTCAGATTCATGAAACTTGGCAGTCGTGTGTCCAATTATAGGCCAAAGATATTTCTGAAGTTTTGGTGGAATTGCTTGACAGGTTCGAGTAGCTCCCATACAAGTCCAAAAGCTTACTTTAAATATTTGAAAAAATAAAAAAGTTAGATTGGTGAAATTTGGCAGTTGTGTGTCCAATTATAGATCAGATATACCTGCGAAGTTTTATTGGAATTGCTTGACAGGTTCGGGTACCTGCCATACAACTCCAAAAGCTAATTTTAAATATTTGAAAAAGTAATAAAGTCAAATTCATGAAACTTGGCAGTTGTGTGTCCAATTATAGATCAGATATATTTGCGAAGTTTTAGTGAAATTGCTTGGCAGGTTCGGGTACCTGAAATAAATATTTGAAAAAATAATAAAGTCAAATTCACGAAACTTGGCAGTTGTGTGTCCAATTATAGATCAGATATATTTGCGAAGTTTTAGTGAAATTGCTTGGCAGGTTCGGGTACCTGCCATACAACTTCAAAAGCTAATTTTAAATATTTGGAAAAATAATAAAGACAGATTCATGAAACTTGGCAGTTGTGTGTCCAATTATAGATCAAAAATATTTCTGAAGTTTTGGTGGAATTGCTTGACATGTTCGAGTGGCTCCCATACAAGTCCAAAAGCTTATTTTAAATATTTGGAAAAGTAATAAAATTAGATTCATGAAACTTGGTAGTTGTGTGTCCAATTATAGATCAGATATATTAGCGAAGTTTTAGTGGAATTGCTTGGCAGGTTCGGGTACCTGCCATACAACTCCAAAAGCTAATTTTAAATATTTGGAAAAATAATTAAGTCAGATTCATGAAACTTGGTAGTTGTGTGTTCAGTTATATGTCTGACATATCCGTGAAGTTTCTATAGAATGGTTTCACAGGTTTGAGTAATTGCTATACAACAATGAAAGGTGCAGGGTATAATTCAATCGGTTTATACCGACTGAAACGTTTTTACTTGTTTTTACATATATTTAGGATGACCGATATATGAAGTCCTTGAAATAAAACAAAAATAATGCTCGATTTTAAGGGTTTATTGCGTCAGTTATGAAAAATAATTATATTTTTTAATGGCATGGAATCTACAGTTAGCATTCTGCGTTTATAAAAATTTGAGAAAGCTTGCGGTTTCGGAAATATAAGGTGGCAAAAATTCAAATTTTACAAATTTCAAGATACGGTAACTTGGAAAGGGTTAGAGGTGTGAAAAAATTTTCTTCTAACGAAGTTATCTCTTTATAGGTCTAGAAGAAAAACGACATTAAAAATTTGGAAAAACTGATTTTAGAAATTTTAAAGGCCTATTTTTTTTTGAAGTTCAAATATAGTATGCCGTGATAGAAAAAGGCAGCCACTATATTTCTTAGTTCGCAAAATTTGAGGAATGCATATGGTTTCACTGCAATAAATGGTTAAAAAATACCATTTTTTGGGTTTTAGAGGGATATAACTTTTAGAGGGGGGGAGATAGGCAAAAATTTTGTTCAACGGAAATCAGTTTCTAGTAAAGATCTATGTACATGTAATATTTCAGCTTTCTACCTTCAAGGATGTAGACATGTTCTCGGACGGACAGACGCACGGACAGAGTGAAACTATTAAGCACTTTTTTCAAAACTTTTTTGGAAAAGTGCTTATAAATTAAACTAAACAAAATACACCTCGCCGACTTTCATATTCATATACAATTTTTTCTTAAATTATTTTAAAAATTGAAATTTTTTGTAATTAATAAAAGTAGTAAAATTTAAAAACGCACAGATATAAAAAAAAGGTTCTGCTAAGGATTGCCATCCATTTAGTAAAGAGTAAAACAAATTTTACTAACTATTTTCAATAAGAATAAGGGTTTTACAACTACATTTGTATTGTCAATATTTTTAAATGGTATTGTTAATATTTTTAATACCTGTCTCATTACCTTTAAGGACCTGCGTACATAAAAGTTGTCTACCAAAAGCTGTAGTGATTCTGGAGACTTTTTCATCAATATGTCGCATGACCATATTTACGGACTTTTTCGCTCATTGCAAGATTAAATTTGTTTTATTTGATTTTATATAAAAATTAAATATTTCTATATTATTATTAATTTAAATATTAACTCCCATAAAACCTATATATATATATACTTCTATTTTTATATACATATTATAAGGAGAAATTTTTCTTGCATGACACTTTGCATATTTTGCAAATATAGATATAGAATAAGATATTAGAAAATAAATTGCCCATTTTATTAAGATTTTCAACTTACCTGAATTATTTAATATTTTTTTTTAAAATCAAAAGATAATAAAAACAAGAATGAAAAATATCCACACTTTTTATTATTTATGTATACATAAAACCAATTCCATTTAACGAAATTGTTTAATAGTATTTTCACCTTAAATAACAGGTAATTATATAATTAAAAATAAAATTATGGCTAATGTAGAATGAATTTAAAATATATATAAGTATGTATGTATTATAAATATTGTTTGAACATTCTTTTGAAATACATATGCATATAAAGAAATGAGAGTGATCATGAATAAGACTTTTTCTTGTAAATCTATTAAAATATTTAATTATATTACTAATTTCATTCATTCACCTAACGCAACATAAGATAAGAAATTTTATTAAAGGTAATTAATTATCTAATACATTTTTATTTTACTTCTAAAGATATATATATGTAAATTAAGTACAATGTATGTGAACTTACTATATTTTGACTTTTTATATATGAAGTATTCTAATTTTATCCTTGAGTCACAGTTGATAACTAAGTATTTTACAAGTTTCGTTATTTTCGTACTCCAAAAATGTTAATGACTGTAATAGTAGTTATCACCTAAAAAAATGAAATCACATTAACGAATCTTTTATAAATTGAAAAATAATATTAATAAACTTAGAATTATTAATAAACTTAGTCATTCAGTTAATTATGATTTGGGTAAATTTCTGAATTTTTATAGTAATTCCTATTACTTATTCAATCTAGAACCCACTATGTATAATTCGTTATGTTATATTAGTTTTTTTCAATTCTTAAATTAATAAATTTTAAAAAATCGTAGTTTCATGCATTTGCTTAGACATTTGGAAAATACTTACTTATAAGTCGACATTAATGAAAAAAGGTGCTTAAATTATAAATTAAAATGGGAATTTTGAAATTAAATTTATATACCATGATACAAACCTGTTGTTCGAATATTAGTTTTCTATAGATTTCCAGTAAGTTTCAGAGCATTTTTTTATACAACTTGTAAAAATAGATTAAAATTTTAAATATTTATAAGATTTTATCTTTTCCATAAAATCAACATTATATAAATCATCTTAGAAATTAATGAAGGTGTAATTGTGTATCAACATTGTAAAGAGTTGAATACCTACGATAGTGTGAATTTGTTTTATGTTAATGATATTGTTATATTTCACATGTATATTTAAAATTAATGGTGATAGTTTACTTTTTGATGAAAAACTTATTCTTTGTTTGTATTAACAAAACTTAGATTTGATTTTTTACGAGAAAGCTGTTATTCAGTTGTCAAAATTCAAAACCTTATTTTTCTTATCCATAAATTTTTTTATATTTGAAAATGAAAAGACTTAAGACGACGCTCTCAAATTTTTTAATGGATGTCATGATTTTCCTCAAAAATTTTGAAGTAGAGTGTAATAATCCGATGCAGTACGATCTAACGATTTTATTGATTTGCGCTTTTCAAAAAATTAAGTTATTAAGAATAACTTCAATGAATACATAGTTTGATAGAAGAGTATTTGATGATTTAAATTGAGGCTACATTTTTCTTACACCACTTTTATTATCAATTACTTCTTTAAATTGATTTGTTTAATGAGATATTAATGCAGTGATTCTATAATTTAGACGTTAGTAATTTTGTAGGTATTCACATAACGCAAAGTTGTATTTTAATATGTCAAAGGTAGAGTGTAATAAATGTAAGTTCAAGTGTACCTAAATTTGTTGTCTGACGTATCTAAAATATTTTACCTTCAAATGTGTGGCTATGATATTCGTACGGAAGCTCTTGTGCAGCTGATATGTGTGGTGGAAGGCTTCCAATATAAGCATCTGAAGGCCTACCATGATGTGGGTGCTGACCATAGTGTATCGGATGATTTGGTGGTCCAGAATTCACGTGATCTACTGGAATTTCATAAGTCGTTATAGCTAAAATGTAAAATAAAAACGTAAATCAAAATTAGGGTTTCAATACCGTTTTACATTTGAGTTTTTCAGGAAAAGGAAAATGAAAATTAATATGTAACATACTTCTAAAATGAGTTATATATTAAAGTTTATCCAATACAAATTGCAAATTTTTTGAAAAAAAAATTCAAACTTAAGATGAAAATAAAAGTATTTTGACGAAAGTGTTATATAAATAAAAAGTGCTTCATCGTGATTAGATAAGATTGTAGGTTGTACTTCAGACAAAGTCACTGCACCCATAAAATATTATTTCAACGTTTTACAGCTTATAATGACCCAATCTGCTCTTGTTTTTTTTAATGTCCTGCAGCGGCGGAGAATATCTCTCACATCTAAGTTTCTCACATCATAGGTATACCTTGCTCTTGTTAGAAATTTAAATCTACCAATGAAAGTAGCAAGGGGTCTTTGAAAAATTGAGATACATGACAAGGGGTTTATGAGAAAAAAGTTTGGGAACCTCTGGTATAACCTATTGTAGATGTATAACCCGATATATTGATAAAGATCAGAAAAATTCATTTTCTGTACACTTTGAGGATCTCCTGTACAATAAAGAAAGGTTCCGCGATAGCCTTGTTCACCAAATCAGGTTCATCAGGAAGACTCACTTCGAAGACTTTGAGAGCAAGACCGGCTCTAAAAAGCTTTTAGAACTGGAAATAGCAGTTTCGCTTACATGAAAAGTGACGCTCATTTTTATTAATAGCCGAGGGATCCTTTAATAGAAATCCTGTTTTAACAACAAAATTAGAACATTATGTAATCAGCACTTTTTTTTATTACTTACTTTATACTGTTACTATATACTTTCATTCACTTAACAATATCGAAATGATTTTTAATGTTTAGAATGAAATTTTGAAACGGGATTATAATTCTTGTATTTTGCCTAAAAATAATTGCAATTGTTAAATATAATTATTAGTTTCCATTTTCACTTTATTTAACGGAACCCTCATATGTTTTTTTCTTGCTAGCACAAATTTGTTAAATTTCGACTTTTCTCATTTTATAATTAGAATTCTTAATAATAATAATAATTTTTTTGGATATTTTGATTCAATACCCACTCACTTTCTGTATGATGAACTGCTGGAGGTGGTTTTGAGTGAATCTCTTTCCCACTGCCACTGTGTCCTGAAGATGAGCTTGATAAACTACTTAATTTATGTAAAGGATGGACACTTTCTCCATAACCATGATGATCCACATGATGAAACTGAGCAGAATTTACTTTAGCTTTTCCTAGATCGGATATTTTGTCACCAGAAGCAGCCACAACCTTAAAAAATGGGGATAGTGAATTAAAATAGAGATATTACGAAAACTTCGATCAACAAAATAATTAAAAATTATAAAATTTTTATAAAATAGAAAGTTCTTAATTGTTGTTATTTTTGCCAGCACATAAATAATTTCTTTTTTTGAAAACAACAAAGCTGTATACAATGTTTGGATATAAGCATTTATAATGCCATAATGTATTTTAGTTTTGGGTTTTTAAAAGATGCATAATCAAGTGCGTTTTGAAAAAGCATTGAAATATTTTTAAAAGTTTCATTTTTATAGACAGCATTCATTCTGTGATATAATGAATCACATCTGTTCTATTCAAAAAATTCCACTGATTTGAACTTTGTAAATTTATTATTTCTCATTTTGAATATTAAAGCTAAAAAGATAGTGTCATTTATTTACGTATTTAGGTTGTAAGTTAAATAATAAAAGCATTGTATGTTTTTGAAATTTGCAATAAAATGGCACTGCATTTTGCCTAATAAAGCACAACTTACTTGACTAAATATCCCAACACTGGCTGTATATGATCGGTTTAGGTATTTTTAAGTAAATAAATTAAAATTTACTGAGAATCATAGCTTTAACTAGCACACCCAATTCTGTTTTTACACGAATTATTTTTACGAATTTGAAATAACACGAGTAATCACCAAAAAATATTTTAATTTTTACACAACATAATTTGAAATAACACGAATACAAACAAAATCTTTTTTCTATTTAAAATAAGCCTGGTATTCTGATTGAAACAGAAGTAACTTTCGAATAATTATGATTGCTTAACTGTTTCCAGTGATGGCAGTTATTTTGTAGTCTTTCGCAAACGTATGCGTTTATTATCAGACAGTAAATAAAATTTAAATTAATATTTAAATTTTTCTTATGGTTGTACTCTTGTTATATAAGTTTTTTATCAATGAATTTCTGATATAATATGTACATATTTTTTTCTAAAATCTAAATTTTAATTTATTTTCTGGGGGTCTAGAAGCAATCTATTATTTTTGTACTTAGCCAGTATCTTTTTTTAAACAAATTTCTGAGAAACCATTCTATCGTGTAAAAAGAGAATTAGGTGTATTAAAATACACAAGTTTCGCTAAAGAACTTATATTCTTACAGTAATGCCCATACAGAGTACGAAAAAATTCCATGAACTCGGATCAAAACAATGGACTACAAAGTAGCATATGTCTCTAGCACAAGTGAATACAAATTTTTTAAAAAGCAATCTACTAGCTATTTCATTTTGTTAATTTAACAAAATATGTAAAAATATGGAGGGAGGGATAGATAGGTGAAAATTTTCTTATACAAAAATAACTTCCTAGTAAAGATCTATTTGTACATAAATTTTCTGCTTTCTATCTTAAAGAGTGTAGAAATTTTCTACAGACACACGGACGAACAAGGCGAAACTAATAAATAATTTTTTCCGATTTTTTTGTTTTTTTTTTTTTTTTGCTGGAAAAGTGCTAAAAAGGAAGTACCTTTCCACTAGCTGAAAGTACAATACCACTTCCTTTTATTAATTGTCCTTTAATAGCAGTTACACCGCCTGTAATAGCTTTTACCGCTTGCTTAATTGTTCCGAAAAATGATGACTTGAAATTCCATGAATCGATAGAGTTACCACCCTACAAATACAATTTAATAATTTTGATTTTGTTTTTGCTTTTCAAAACCATGTTTCATGCACCAACTTACATATTTATAGCCATGATTACTACTACTGGCTTTTGCAGCATGTGGTGAGCTTCCTGCCGATAATGATGCTGATGTTTTGCTCAAAGTTCCTGCTATGTTCTAAAATTAAAAATAAAAATAGGCTTTCATTGTAGATTTTTAAATTTTGCAGCTTTTTGAACAAAAGTAGCAAAAAAAGTAAAAATAAATAAAATAAATGAATTTTTTAAAAAATAATTCCTACATTTTTCAGATGATAAAAGAAATCTTGACTTCCACTCCCTGATCTTTTAGTAATTTTCTGCTCATCATCATCAAAATCATCACTTCTTGCAGTCTCCCCAGTTTCTGTTTCTTCCGCCCTTCTCAAAGAGAATTGACAAAACAAAACAGCGAATATCACGAAACAGTAATAAGTCTGAAAAAATGAAGTAAGGAAATATTAGTGGTAATAAAAAAAAATTAATGTGAACACAACCGACCGCAATGTATGTTGCCTAGTTTAGTGAAAGTGTTACAGAAAATTATGAAAATGCATTTGAACACTTCCCTTCATTTATAAAAGTATAAATTTGGCTTTTAGTAGAATTTCGCTTTGGTCTTAAAATATTCAAAATACCTATTAAGCCCAGTTCTGTGCATATTACTTTATATTGCCTTGGATTTCGATATTTTTTTATCGATCGTATTGTATATACAATAAGTAGGTTACGTGAAGGCAACAAATTTTGCATATCGAGTTTTCGGTGGGAATGCACTTCTCATGCACATGGTAGGGAAGTGTAAATAAACTATTTTTAGCAACCTGTCGGTCTATTGGTCTGTCGGTCTGTATGGCACGGATTGATCAACTTTTGGTATATATCAGGCCTCGGGAACTCCACTTTTTACCGGCCCTGTTTTACATTTTTGACCATTTTGAAGAAAATATTCAACCGATTTACTTGAAATTTAATATTGAAATTCTTCGTATTAAAACAATGAATCTATAAATTTTTTGGAAATATCAAGGGTCGAAAACTGATTTGCGGACCGACTTTACATTTTTCACAATATCTACTGAATGAATTAATGGAATTTATTGCAATTTGATATTTGAGTTCTGATTGTTACTGAGACTAACTGGTGAACATTTCAGAGAATTCGGATTTCACAAAGCGAAATTCTACTAACAGCTAAATTCACATTTTCCTAGGCATGTTAACTATAAGCTTACTAATGTCCTAAAAATTGGAAAAAAGTATTTAACAAACATTTTTATAATATTCTATAACACTTTCAGTTAACTAGACAAAGCGCATTATGGTCGGTTATGTGCTGACCACAATAGATTTTTTTGTTTATTATCTTCTTTTTTGTCTTTCCGTATAGCAACAATTGCTTATATGGTATACATATTTCATTTAACAATGGGTGAGAATGGGGAACATCATATTGTTTACGTATTGGCGTGCGAAAAATTTGCAGCTAATTCCCAGTCTGATTATCCATCTTTTTTTATAATGAATAAATTTTAATGAAAACCGAAATATTTGTTTGGTTAGATGTTGCTACTTTCTCCGAATATGTGTATATATTCGGTCCAATGCAAATTTGATCCATACACCATTTAAGATTACGTTGTTTCTTAACTAGACGATAGAAATTTTTAATATAACCTTCATTTTTAGTATACATATTGCATACTACGCCTACAAAGTTTGAAGCAAATTGAGACATAAATGAGCCATAAATGACAGTCATAACCGTAGTTATGAAAGTCAAATAAGTGAAATAATGCATTTTTGATTAATATCCATTTTTTCATTTCAGTTTTTGCAGTTTGTATGACGTAGAATAAAATGTTTTTGGATATTGGGTATATAAGCACCGATTCAAAAAATGCTAAGATCCACGTACATATACAAATATTAAATCAATGTAAAAAGAATCATAAATGTATACCTAAATAAAACCCAAAAAATGCCATTTTTTAACCATTTTTTGTAGTGAGACCATAAGCATTTTTCAAATTTTGCAAACACAGAAAAGCAGCGGCTTGCTTCTACCGCAGTGTATCATACTTGAACTTTAAAAAAAACAAAATGGCCGTTAAATTTATCTTTATCTAAAATCCAAATTTTTGACGTCGTGTTTCTTGAAAACCCAAAGTTGTAAAATTTGAATTTATGCTACCTTATATTCAAGAAACTGCAAGCTTTTTCAAATTTCTATAAAGCCAGAAAGCTAATTAATTTCTATCTTAACTCACGCAATTAACCTCTAAAATCCAGCATTATGTTAATATGTCTCAAATTTTTTTTCAATTTATTTCAAAGATGGCATAAATTGTTCAGCCTAACAATGAATGCAGTTCTTGAAATAGTTTCGTATATGAATGATCGTAATTTTAATAATATAGTAGGTTTATGTACAAACGTTGTTCAAAAGCAGTATTTTCACTTGTTGAACGTAAAGGTGCTACTGGCTTGACACAACTTTATTTTGATTTATTAACAAAATGTTAAACTTTTTTTTTCTATTATTATGAAATATTTCAGTTTATAATAAACAAGTAAAAACGTTTCAGTCGGTATAAACCGATTGAATTATACCCTGCACCTTTCGTTGTTGTATAGCAATTACTCAAACCTGTGAAACCATTCTATAGAAAATTCACGGATATGTCTGACTTATAATTGCACACCCGACTGCCAAATTTCATGAATCTGACTTTATTATTTTTCCAAATATTTAAAATAAGCTTTTGGAGTTGTATGGGAGCTACTCGAACCTGTCAAGCAATTCCACCAAAACTTCAGATATATATCTGGCCTATAACTCGACATACAACTGTCAAGTTTCATGTATTTGACTTTATTTTTCCAAATATTTAAACTTTTGGACTTATATGGGAGCTACTCGTAGCTGTAGAGCAATTCAACCAAAACTTTAGAAATATATCTGACATATAACTCGACACACAACTGCCAAGTTTCATGAATCTGACTTTATTATTTTTCCAAATATTTAAAATAAGCTTTTGGAGTTGTATGGCAGGTCCTCTAAAACTTCAGAAATATATTTGACCTATAATTGGACACATGACTGCCAAGTTTCATGAATCTGACTTTATTATTTTTCCGAATATAAAAAATTTCCTGTTGGAGTTGTATGGCAGCCACCCGAACCGGTGCAGCTATCCCATTATAATTTTTAGAGCATATGTAGAATATAATTGGACACATGTATACAAAATTTTATATTTATAGCTTTATTAGTTTTTGAAATATTTAAAATAAATTCTTTGAGTTGTATGGCAGCTACCCGAACCCGTTGTCCGAATTAGTCCAATAACAATAGGGCTCGGCCTTGGCACAAAAGAAAAAACTTGTGAAAGTTTGGTGTCGATTGCATTATTCGTTTTTGAGTTATCGTGCGATCGGACGGACGGACGGACAGACGGACATGTCTAAATCGACGCAGAATTTTACGCTGAGCAAGAATATATATATATATGTCCATACCACAGATGACTCCTTCAAGTAGTTACAAACTCCATACCAAAGTTAATATACCCTCCACGAAGTGCAGGTTATAAAAACGAATACCTCTAATAACAACAAAAATTAAAAAGACTAAATGTTAAAACAAAAGTAAATATTAAATTATAACTGAAATATTAAACGTAATTTCAAACACATCATAGCAGAATTTTTTAATTTAAAATTAGTAGCAAATTATATTATTAATTTACATTATTTTCTTATAAAATATATTTCAAACAATTTTTATATTTTTCTCGCTTGAAAATATGTTCGGTGCTATTTTGGGCAGAAACGATTTTAAATTTTAAGTAATTAATTTTTAATATTAGGTCTTTACTTTTTTTTGCGGAAATAAAATGCGTTGGTAATGTTTATTAAGGAATCAATTTGTAGATGTTTCCAAACGATTTCTTCTTGCTTTCTTCGTCAAGCTACAAGTTTTATAATCCAAATCTAAAAACGATGCTTTATAAAATAAAGCTGAAGCAGATAAAGAGCTGTAATCTTCCAAATTTTACAAGTTTCTTCTATAAAAGAATGAACATTTTCAAGCTCGGCCGAATTTTTTTAGCTATTTTAAAAATATTTACGCGAACTTAAAAATATTTTATCGTTGTCGAGTTGGAAATTCTACGAAAATCAAATTTTTAACTATTTTTTCTTGCATAGAATCACTTTTTTTTTTAGAATCGTTTTTTTTTTCAAAATCTGGGTTAAAAGTAGGATCTTGTGTTGCACTATCAGACGAAAATCTGAGTAACTGTCAAAAATCTCACACTACATACTAAACTTTGAATACATATAATAATTTCGTAAATTGAATCTTAATTTTTTTGTATTTTTGGTAGACTTGAGTACCAAAAACAAGTAAAAACGTTTCAGTTGGTATAAACCGACTGAATAATACCCTGCACTTTGACAATCTGAGTTTAAAAATTTGTTTTTGAAATATTTAGAAATAACTAAATGTCAATTACTTGAACCTGTCAAACAACTTAATAGAAACTTCACGGATATTATGTCTGAACTATAAGTGGACACATAGTTTCATTAATCTTGTGTTTCATGAATCTAGCCTTAATATTTTCCCAAATATTTAAAATTAACTTTTGGAGCTTTACGGTCACTACCCGAACTTGTGAAGCCATTTCACCAAAATTTGGGGGTTACATCTGACCTGAAATTGGATACACAACTGCCGGATTTCATGAATCTAAATTTGATATTTTCCAAAATATTCAAAATTTTGTTTTGGAAGTGTATGGCGTTTACTCGAACCAGTGCAGCCATTCCATTAAAATTTTCTGAATATATGTAGAACGTAATTCGATAGACCTTCACAAAATTTGAAATTAATATTTAAAAAAACCTATTTTTTCAATTGGTCCAATTACAATAGCAGCCGTCTTTGGCACAAAAGCAAAAACTTGTTGATTGCATTATTCGTTCTTGAGTTATCGTGCGATCGAACGGACAGACCTATCTAAATCAATGCAGAATTTTACGCTAAGCAAGAATACATACAAATGTTCATATAGGAGACGATTCTTTCAAGTGGTTATAAACTCAATACAAAAGTGAGCATACCCTTCACGATGGTGCAGGAAGGTATGAAAAAAGAACATAATTGAAAAAAGAAAATATTTCTTCGAAGCTTGAAATCTCTTCTTTTATTGAAACAAATGCAAGTGATAAACAAACTAAACCAATTCTTTCTAAAAATTTATACATAAAAATTTTTTTAAATTTTTTAATTTTATTTAGATGAATATGAAGTTTCAAATATGTATTGTTTATCATTGAATATTAAATTGGAAAAAATTCTGCACTGAATCAGAATATTAATAAGGATAGAGATTGGTTTATAGTATTAGAACGTCGGGCTCCCTTCTAATCACAAACGCTGTTTTTTTTTTAATTGCAGCTACCTTTTGAAATTGTAAAACGGCAGCCCTGGTATAGTAATGATTATTTGTATTATTCATGATTAATGATTATAAGTATTTAATGATTATAAGTATTATTTGTATTATTCTTTGTATTTTTCATAAATATACGCACATAAAGAGATTAATAAAAAAATAATAGCAACTTTTTTAATAATACTATTAAAAGAGAAAAATTTTTATTTTGGTTAGTATATTGTACAGAGTCATCTATACGTCAAAATATTTTTTATTTTAACAATTTACTAAGAACAACTGGTGACATCTATATTTGAGACATCTAAATTTTTTGAAACTTATAGTATTGTACGTTACCGTTAGATGGCGCATATTCCAAATAGAAAGTGCTAACTATCGAAAACCCAAACCATCATTAGCACAAACTGAAATTTAGCAAAATTCAGTGAATGGAAAAAATGAAAAATTGTTTTTATACCCTGCACTTCGTGAAGGGTATATTAACTTTGGTATGGAGTTTGTAACTACTTGAAGGAGTCATCTGCGGTATGGACATATATATATATTCTTGCTCAGCGTAAAATTCTGCGTCGATTTAGACATGTCCGTCTGTCCGTCCGTCCGTCCGATCGCACGATAACTCAAAAACGAATAATGCAATCGACACCAAACTTTCTCAAGTTTTTTCTTTTGTGCCAAGGACGAGCCCTATTGTTATTGGACTAATTCGGACAATGGGTTCGGGTAGCTGCCATACAACTCAAAGAGTTTATTTTAAATATTTCAAAAACTAACAAAGCTATAAATATAAAATTTTGTATACATGTGTCCAATTATATTCTACACATGCTCTTAAAATTATAATGGAGTAGCTGCACCGGTTTGGGTGGCTGCCATAAAACTCCAACAGCAAATTTTTTATATTCGGCAAAATAATAAAGTCAGATTCATGAAACTTGGCAGTAATGTGTCCAATTATAGGTCAAATATATTTCTGAAGTTTTAGAGGAATTGCTTGACAGGTTCGGGTACCTGCCATACAACTCCAGAAGCTAATTTTAAATATTTGGAAAAATAATAAAGTCAGATTCATTAAACTTGGCAGTTTTGTGTCGAGTTATAAGTCAGATATTTTTCTGAAGTTTTAGTATAATTGCTTGACAGGTTCGAGTAGCTCCCATACAAGTCTAAAAGCTTATTTTAAAAATTTGGAAAAATAATAAAGTCAGATTCATGAGACTTGGCAGTCGTGTGTCCAATTATAGGTTAGACATATTTCAAAAGTTTTAATGGGATTGCTTGACAGGTTCGA